TAAAACTTTTACAAGCCACTCTGCCTTCGCTTTCTGGGCCTGCCCCACACACCACGCCACACACCCACCCACAACAATTGCATGCCACACTTTGGGGCAGGCTCCCTAACACCCATTCCCGTTGCAGGCAACACCCTACTCTCCACGTTTACTTCCAGCAGCGGGTCATGAACTCCACAGAAAATCACGCAGAAAAATAAAAATTCTTATTTCAATGGTTAGTTTCTTAAAAATATTTTAATATTTAAAGGAATTATATTTTCGAAAAATTTCCATCAATATTTCATTAGGTTTCTTGGAAAAATCTTGAATTTCATACCATACCCAAAGATATGAGCATTTTAAGCTATTTTGAAATATCTCAAAAAATCTTAAACCATTTCAAAAATATGTTTTTTAAGGAACTACGATTTTTTTTATTATTTTCTTATGAAATCTCCATTTCTCTTCAAAAACATATCCTTAGATATTTTTTTGAAATTTTTCTTTCTGTGCACCCATTTTGTACTCAATCGCAAAACTCACTTTTTGGGGGTGGTGGGTGTGGTGGTGCAGCTGCCTAGCACTGGCACTTCCACTTCCACTGGCACTGTGTTTTGTGTTTTTTATGCCCACTGACTGACTGGCCACTTGGTTTAGTTTCACACTTCAAGTCGCCAAACTGCTAATGAGCTTAAGGATATGCCCCCAGCCCAGCACCCCACCCGGCTTCCACGACCTTTCAAGTTTTTGACTCGAAAACTACATATATATGGATGTGTATATATACATATATATAATATTCTCATCAACTTTTGAGAGTGTTGCTAGTTTTTCTGTTTTTATACCCTTGCAGAGGGTATTATAATTTTGGTCAAAAGTGTGCAACGCAGTGAAGGAGACATCTCCGACCCTATAAAGTATATATATTCTTGATCAGGATCACTTCCTGAGTTGATATGAGCATGTCCGTCTGTCCGTCTGTCCGTCTGTCCGTCTGTCTGTCCGTCTGTCTGTCCGTCTGTCTGTCCGTTTCTACGCAAACTAGTCTCTCAGTTTTAAAGCTATCGACTTGAAACTTTGCACACACCCTTCTTTCCTTTGCACGCAGTATATAAGTCGGAACGACCGGGATCGGCCGACTATATCCTATAGCTGCCATATAACTGATTGATCGGAAATGCTATAACTTTGGTGTTTTTAGAGTTAGAGAGTTCAAATTTTACATGAGCGCTATTTTTGGCAAAATAATACGACATGCCAAATTTCGTAAGGATCGGCCGACTATATCCTATAGCTGCCATATAACTGAACGATCGGAAATGACCTAACTTTCGTGTTTTTGAAGATAGAAAGCTGGAACTTAGTACTGATTATATTTTTGGTCAGATCATCCGACCTACCAAATTTTACAACGATCGGCCGACTATATCTTATAGCTGCCATATAACTGAACGATCGGAAATGGTTTTTGGTAGAAATACCAACTTTCGTATTTTTGAAGATAGAAGTTTGGGACTTTTTTTAGATTTTTTATTTTAGTTAATTAGTTTTATTATGATGTAATCATAGGGATCGGCCAACTATATCCGATGTTTGCGATATATATCCGGTTTTAACTGCAAGGGTATATAAACTTCGGCTCCGCCCGAAGTTACATAGCTTTCCTTTCTTGTTTTTTTTGTTGTTTTGTTTCCGGAAAGTGCGAACAACCAACAAAAACTAAAGGGCGGTGGAGGCGTGGCCAGGGGCCTCTAGACACCTGCCCAGACGTAGTTGCAACTTTCTGAACACAAAACTATTTGCAAATATTTCATTTTTGCGCTCATTTTCCACTTTCCATTGGTGTTGTTTTTAGTTTTTAGTTTTGAGTTTCTAGTTGGGCAAAGTCGAATGCCACGCCCCCCACAGCCAAGCCAAGGCTGGCATTGAACAAAAAAAATACTATATATATATTATATATATATATATATCTGGCTAGGTGGAATAGAGGGCGGGGATAAGGAAAAAAAAGGGCGAAAACGAAGGCGTTGGTGAAAGAAGCTTAGCCGAGGCGTCAAGCAATTTGTAGCTTAAAAAAGCAACAACAACAACTAACGCCTCTCCTTTAGCTAATTGAATTTGGCCAGGCTAAGAAAGAGCCGAGAACAAGTGGCCAAGTGGAATGGAAGGGCAAACACTAGGAATTATATATTTAAAATATAATGCATTTTTATAGGCTTTTACAAGTTATTCTCAGAAGAAACCTAAAATAAAATTAAAATTAATTATTACTTTTATTTATATTTTAGGCTTTGATTAAATATTTAAGAGTTCTATTAAGAGTTTTAAAGGGGTTTGGTTAGGAGAACGTTCTATAGAACTTTTGTGGAATATTTTATGAAGTAAGTGCATCTTTTCTATGAATTTTCAAACATTATATAATATTTTTATATAATTCATATTTCCTATTCCTATATAGTACAGTTCTTTATCACATCTTATACGCAATTTTGGTAATAAAATTATCTAATTCAAACAATACTTCTTTATATAGGATAAACACCATAAAGAACCTCTTCTTCGTCACCTTCTTGAACTGCCATCCTGAGAGATACGCCCTCCATAATAAATCTAATCTAAAGAAAATTAGATATCCTTAAATTTTAATATTTAATTCTCCAAAAACACAAGAAAACCTTTTCCGTAGAAATTAAATTTTCCAAAAAAAAAATACAAAAATCCAACCAAGAATTATGCAATTTTTGAGTGACTGCATCTTGCACTCACTTGACACTCACTCTGCGATTTTGTCTGAGTATGAGTATCGTATGAGTGTTATTCTTTATATTCATCACTTTTTTTTTTTAGAGAGGGTGTGTGAGTGTCTCGGGGAATACTTTCTCAAGTAGGTGTGAAGCTCAAAACGCATTTTCACGCGCCAACGCAGCTTGAATGTCAACCTTGTCGCCGGCTCATCATCTCCAATCCTCATAAACATCTCGGGGGAAAGATTCCCAAGACCGATGAGGATGGAGGATGGCAGCAACAAAAAAAATATGTGTGTATTTAAAAAAAAACCCAATGGGCGAGATAGAGGTGGGGGGTTGGGCGTCTGTTCACCTACTTTTTCGAGCAAATGGGCGTGGAACTGGGAGCGGTTAACGGTTAACGGGAGCTTGAGACGTCGCCACACGTGCTCAAGTGGCCAAGGTTGCCGTCGCCGACGACTAATATACCCGTAACCCGTAACCCGCAAACCGTAACCCGTTACCCGTACCCGTAAGTATAGGGCCGTACTCTCTCAATGATTCAGGAACGGTCTGTGACCTTCAGTTCTCAAAGGCCTATAGATTGAAAACCCGTATCTAGGCTGGCATTTGCCAAAATTTTATCTCAGAATTTGCAGTATAATTTAATTTCATTCTATGGTAGAATCAAGTATCTATCTATTTCGATTCTATTAAAGTATGATTTTTCAAAAACATCCTTAGAAGCTTAGACATTCTTTTAAATTTCTTCAATATTTTGAAAACTTTATATTTATTTGAATACAAAATTTTTAGAATTGTATAGAATATTAGAAAAAGAATCCAATCTCTTGATTTTTAAAATTTTCTTCTAAAACTTTTGGAAATTATTTCAATATTCTTTTGAAACTTGGAATATTGGAAATATAAACTGTGATATTACACAGTTTGCTTACTGATATAGAGAATAATATAGGGGCCAATATATTCTCTAAAATATAAACATTTAGAAGCATTTTACAAGCATTTTTTCGAAGTATTATTTATATTTAAAGACATTCATTATAAGAATTAGAACGTTTTAAAAAATAGATCAAAAAGATCCTTTTTTTAGATCCTAGATGTTCTTAGATTTTCTAATAATTTTTTATTCGCATTCTTTCAAATAAAATCATTTCGTATCAAAAATATATCTCTATAATATTTAGAAATGTTCTATTCTCTATCAAATAAATTCTTCCTTAAATTTCCTAAATATCGTGAATTTCGGTAATTATTTAAATTTTTTAAGCTTGATAACCTTTCTAGTTCGAATACTAAAGATTCTTTACTGATGAAAAATATCAAAAATTATACAATTATATAGAATTATAGAAGCATCTTTTATAAAGGCTACACATTCTTTGTGATTCTAAAATCTTCTAAAAATTTATGAAACTAATCTGAATCTAAAACTGTTCTAAAATTCGATTCAGAAACTTTTGAATAGATTCTTTTAAAAAACGAATATTATCAAAATTAGAATTATTTTTAAAGCCTCCAAATTCTTAATTTTATTTTCCTTATATTCCTTATAATCTCCTTATATTAAATTTTAGTTTTTTTTGAAAAGAATCATATACAAACTGGGTGTCATATTTATATAACATAATAGCCTAGCTTCTAAGATTCGACCAGGATTTAAGAGAGGACTCTACTTTCAAAATGAAGGACTAACTTTTAAAACTATTTAGTTTTTAGATTTTTTTATCTAAATCTAGAAGTAATCCTAAACAATAGGACTATATTAGAACTAAATCGATTTAGAACTCTAGTAGATTCTTTTTATAAAATTCTTGAAGCTAATAAATCCTTTATAATTCGTAGAATCATCAACAAACTTTGGATTTTTGGGAAATGGCTTTAGAAATAATTCTCAAACTTCTATACTTCCATTTACTATTTTCCAAACACTGTTTCAACAGAAAAGCACAAGTATTACTAACACCTATTTATCACCAATGGATCTGGATAGTGACATCCATATATCACTCGATGATTTTCAAATCATAAAAGTTTATTTATGTTGAACTATTATTACCTTCCTTGTACAACTGTTTTAGGGAAGTGACTAGTCATCTTCATAGACCAGATATACCTATCAAATCGCTAAAACCACTATCTTTATTATTAAAACTGGTATTATTTATTTGTGAAAGATGTTTTGAGATTATGGATCGACTTCCGAGAGAGAAACAGAAACAGACTTTGGAAGACACTGCACTATTTGTTCAGGGGGCTTTGATTACTCACCTGCCGGATTTGGTGATGACCATTTCGGTGCCCAGCTTGTGGAACTTCTCCCAGAGGTCCTTGCCCTCCAGGGTGACCTTGGGATCGTCAACAACGCCATCGTCCTCCGGCTGGAGGGCCCGCAGCGGTCGCATCGCAGGATGGAGCTGATGGGCGACGGCCGAGGCCAGAACGACGTCCTCGGCGGTGGTGTAGGCACTGCCCAGGGGGTGGTGGTGCGGATGTGGATGCGGATGGGCCGCCGGGTGGTGTGGCGGGAAGCGGAGTCCGCCGCCGGGATACAGGCCCGGATGGGGCCCGGCCGGACTGCCGGCCAGAGCGGCCAATGCCGCCGCCGGGAAGTAGGGGGGCGGTGGCGGCGGCGGACCACCGACGGGCGGCTGTGGCTGCAGATGCGGTGGCGGCGGCGGCGGTGGCTGGTGCGTGGGTGGTGGCGGTGGTGCGGCTGCTCCTCCGGGCGAGTGATGTGACGGCGGGTGGTGCGACGGCGGGTGGCTTGCGGAGGAGGAGGAGGACGGCGGCGGCGGTGGTGCACCAGCCCCACTTGTGGGTGGTGGTGTACCGGCTGGCGAATGCAAGTCCTCGGTGGTGCTCAAATGATGTCCTTTACTATTATTATTATTATTATTATTGTTGTTGTTATTATTATTGTTATTGTTGTTGTTATTATTGAGCTGATTTGTATTGTTGTTGTTGTTGCTGCTGGCGGTGGTGCTGTGGCTGCTGCTGTGGTTGCTCTGCGGCGATAGCTGTGCACCACCACCACCCGTTGGAGAAACTGCTGCTGCGGCTCCCAAGTTACTTAAACTGCTACTGTTGTTGTTGTTGTTGGTGTTGCTTGTGTTGGAGTTGGAGTTGTTGGTGTTGCCGCTGTTGGTGTTGTTGTTGTTGTTGTTACCCGCCGTCAACAGCGAGGAGACGCTGAAGTCAGTGGGTCGTTGCGTTAGCTGCAGAAATGGATGATATGCCATCCCATTGGCAAATCTGGCGAAAGGATCCTCGGCAGACTGATGAAGTAGCAGCTCCTGGACGTCGTATCTCATCACATAACCGTTTCAAACAACCATGTGCGTCATGCAGACAATAATTCTTTTTGTTTTTATTTATTTTATTATTTTTATAAATTATTATTAATTTATTTTTTTTTGTTCTACAGGTACTTTTGTTTTTCTTTCTAATTAGCACTGCACTTTTTTTTCACTGCACTTGTTTCTTCTTCTTGTTGTTGTTGCTTTTGGTTTACTTTCTATACAATAAAAAAAAAGGATTTTCGTTTATATACAGATTAGATTTATAAACTATATAGATTTTTTTTTGGTTAGCCGCTTTTGAGATTTGTTTTCTTTTTCGAATTTTGGAATTTTTTGTAATTTTTTTAAAAAGCGACGGCAAAACGTCATTAGCTTGTTTATGTTTCTTGTTGCTGTTTCTTCACTTTTCTTTGTTTCTTGTTGTTTCTCATCCTTTTCTGGTTTGTTTGTTTGTTGTTGTTGTTTTTTGTTGCAAATGTTGCAGAACCCAAAAAAAAAAGAGGAGATGATAGGAGTGTGCACAACAAAAATACCGTGGAATAGGAACAAGATGCAGCAGTAGGCGACACTAAAGCGACAAAACACCAAAACAAAGCGACAAACAAACAAGTTAGACGGCGGCGACGGTCGAATACGCGACGTTTCTTCAATTTCGATTCGAATTCTGATTCGATTTCTAATATCAATATGGTCACTATTCTATTCGATAGATTTAGAATCCATTGTGGCGCCTACTTTTCCGTTAACACCGCGTATGCGTACCGCCGAATTTCCATGACTTTCCGACTTTTCCGAAAACAACCGACAGCGGTGCGACCTGAACAGGCGATTTTTCGGAAAAAAAACAATTTTGTAGTTGTTGATGCTTTTAAGCGGCGCTGTCGCTGCCACTGGCTCTGCCGGCGCCGGCTGCGGCTCTCTCGCTCTCTTCGCCCACTGTTCGCCGGCTGTTAGGTGTCTGTTAGCGCTGTTAACCGTCTGTTCGCCTTCGCCTTGCCCGGCAGCGGCTCTGTTAGGTGGAGAGCTGGTGCCACCGAAGACGCCGACAGCGCCGTCGACGGCGCCGGCGCCTGTTCGCATGAGAGCGAGCGAGATGGCCGTAGGCTCTATCCGAGAGTGTTGAGTTTCTCTCGCCGACCGCCCGACGACGTGCGAGTGAGCGAGAGCGGTGTGGTTCCAATAAGAAAGCCAAGAACCGGGGAGCCAAAGAGAGCCGCTCGGCGTGTGTGTGTGTGTGCGAGTGTGTGTGATGGAAATGGCACCAACCAGCAACGACGGCGGCAGCGACGTCGCGTCACAGCAGCGTGTTAGAAGTAACAAGGCAGCTGACACCACTGCGAGAAGAAGAAGAAGCGCGGTCTGTCAAAAGGCGAGTGGAGTGGGGTGGGCGAGTGTAGGGGGTGGCGCAGGAGAAGCTACAAAAAGGAAAAAAATAGCAGTAAATCACAGCCGCCGGGGGATAAATGGAAAATGGGGCAGGGGCGGCGCGGCGAGGGGCTGTAAGGGGGGGCCAGGCCAGTTGACAAATGACGCGCAAGCGAAAAATGCGCTTCAATGGTCAAATGTTGGCACTGTGGCGGTGGGTGGCGCTGTCGCGAAAGTGGGCGGCCAGGGCGGGCGCTCGGGGGCTAGGGGACAGCGAGACAGAGATAAAGCAGCGGAGAAGCACTTTAAGGCACAAAAGTTGACCTACAATGACCTCCAGACAATCAAAATGGCACTGCCAGAAAAATGAATAAATATTTTAGGATTTTATTGATGCTAAAATGGGTTTATTTCATAATGTCTTGATAAGGTTTAATACAAAAAATTAGGAATTAGGTGAAAGAAATATTCTTAAGTGGCTAATATAATTTAAAATGTTTTTAAATAAACAATCATTATAGTTTTTTGGTCAAATAAGAAGCTATGTATCTATGGATATCTTAAAGAAAAGAACAGCGGAACAGATAGCCCCATACGATAAATGCCACGTTTTAAGAAATTTCTGACGTTTTTAAGAAAGTTGCTTTGAAAATTGTATTAAAAATTTGCAATAAAATTAATAGTTAGAGGTTTTAATCTTGAAATCTTTAATAATAATTAATACAAAGATAAATTAATTCAAAAAGACTTGAAGAAGAAAAGGATTCCTTGGAGACTTTTTTTAAGAAAATGAAGAAACTTTGTTTTTGAAAAAATATTAAAATCTAAAATATCAGATAACATTTTGTAATGCAATTTAGATAAATTTAAAAAAAATCGATAAAAATTACCATTTGTAACGGTAAATCCAGGAAAATCTTGGGGATACGACGTGATTTTTGGGATATCCTTAATTTATTATATTTATTTATTTGTTCTCCCGTTCTCGTCCTGATGCCTGATGCCACACTTACATAAGCAAATGCCACCTACCACATGCCACCACCCCCTGACCATCGCCCCCTACCCCCCGCTAAACGCTTGTTAGCCGCTTTGGCAGCTTTTATGCGTCCAAAAATTCCGAAATGTAAACGAAAAGTAAAAAAAAAAAAATAAGTAAAATAAAAAGAATGCGAAAATAAAAAGGCAGAGGAGCTGCCAGCGGTCGGTCGGTTGGTAGCCTCAGAGCCGGCTGAGGCGATAGCAGAGACGCTGGCAGCGACGCGTGTGACAAACTTGACGCTAAGTTAAGCGCAAACGGTGGCGGTGCGAGCGAGACGGCAGCAGCGAGACACGGGGCGTCGTGCAAATGAAAGGCACAAGCTCAAGTCGCACAAACACAAATGCGGGTGCAAACACACAAATACACACACCGACAAAGAAGCCAAAAAGCAAAAACGGCAACGCAAATGTATTTTGTCACACGTTGCTCACACACAGAAGCACAAGCACACACACACACCATCACACCAATACACCCAAACAAAAAGCAAGAGACAAAGAGCGAGCCGGCAATATGGTGGCGATGGCGTGTGTAAGAAGAAGACGACAAGCTGAGAACTTGCTGGTTGCTGGTGCTGCTTCTTCTGCTTCTTCCTCTTGCTTGTGTGACAAGTTTAACCACAAACACACACACACACACACACACTAACACACAGATACACGTGCGGAACAAACACGAAGAGCGAGGCGAAGAGAGCGGCAGCTAGTTAGCACCACACCTCACAATGGCGGCCCCTCTAATTCTCTCTCACCACCACACCACCACCCTCTCTGGGCCGGAGCTGGGGGTGGGAGCGAGATGAAAGAGCCCAGGTCGCAGCAGCAGAAGCAGCAGCAACGGTGGCGGCAGCGGCGGCAGAAACAGCGGCAGCTGAGGTGACAACATTTGTTGTGTCGGTGTGAGTGTTTGTGTGTGTGTGTTTGTGGTGTGAAAAATTACAGCAGCAGCGACGTTTTCGGTTCTTCTTCTTCTGCTGTGCTTGCTGGTTGGTTTTTTGGCTCTCTTCGTTTTTTTCTTAACTTTTTTTTGTTGTTTTGGTGTTTGTTGTTGCCTCTTGAGTGGGATATTCGAATTGGAAGATTCTTCTTCTGCCCAAGAAGGGTGATAGAAAGGGGGAAGACAATAAGGACTCTGGGCTAGCTACAAGAAGAGGAGCAAGGCGTTTAATTGAAAAAAAAGAGCTTCGGAAGAAAATTTTAAGAAATTATAAATATTTTTAATACTTTTTATTATTTATTATTATTTACCCTAGTTATTTTTCACTTAATTTGATAATTAATTTATAAAATTAAAGACATTTTATATGTAATTATAATCTTTAAAAACGTCAAAAATATAGAGATTAAGATGTGGATTTTATAAGAAAATTCTTTCCAAAAGGATTTCAAACTTAAGAAATATAGCTCTAAGGAAATGATAAAATTTAGAAATAAAACTAAGTTTTTAATCATTTCTTAAAACCCCCCTAAAATCCAAAATTAAAGCCCCCTAAATCCTAAATAATAACCTAAATCCTAAGCCCAAGTACATCCAAAACAAAACATTGAAGAATCCCCAAAACAAATACCGTTAGCATCCCTTTGATGTTTAGCACAAACTTTTGTTTGAACCGGAAATGCCAACACACCATGAAAAGTCAGTGGAAGTAAAAGCAGAAAAGGTGTTAATAAACAACCAACCAAAATGCCTTCAAAAAAACAAAAAAGAATAAGCTTTGAGTTTCGAGTTCTTCAAAGAGACTGCATCTTTGCTGGCTCACTCGCTCCAGCAGGCGTCTTCTCGCTCTCTCCCGCTCGCTCTCTCTGGCGGGGTATTGATTTAGTGGCGTGTGTGTGTGTGTGTGTCGAGAGTGCCTAAGAGCGTGTGAGTGTGGTGTGTTGAAAAGCTTACACCACACACACAGCATCATCTCCTGTCTGCTCTCTCGCTCCCTCTCACTTTAATGGTGCGATTTCAAGTGATTTCTTTCTTTCTTTATATTTTTTTTTTTGTTTCTTGTTTTGTTTTGTTTGGCGCTTTGTAGCTAATTAAAAGTTTATGTGTATAAACACAAACATACCTACATACATACATACAAGTGAAAAGGGAAAATTCAAAAGAAGAAGAAAAGGGAGAAGAATCATGAAGAGAAGAAATTGGAGAAGAAGAGGGGTCTAACCAAAGTCATAATTATCCGGGAAAAACTTTATTTGGCGGCATTTATTTCACTGGCTGCCTTTTACAGCTACCCATACATCTAGCCCTCTCGCTTCCACTTGTTTATTTACTTAACATGCTTTAGTTGCCTCTCTGTGTCTGTGTTAGTGGGTGTGTGGGTGAATCTCTTCCTGTGTGTGTGTGTGTTTGTGAAAATTTACGAGAGGCGCGCGTTAAATTATCTAAATATGTTTGGGGGCAAAAAGGTGACGACGAATGGGGTTAACACTTTCAAAGTGTCTGTGTGGATATGTTTGTGTTTGTGTTGGTATTCGGTGTCGGTGTATGCTAGTTGGTCCCGTTAGAATATCCTTAATGGCAAGGATCCTGTTGAAAATGCACGAATATCTGCATTTATTCATGCAATTCCCCATCGTTGGGGATTTCCAACATTTTCATTTTAATTGGGAAATCACAAAATGTCATGATTTTAGTCTTTTCTGGTATTGAATAGGATTTAGAATTTTTCAGTTTTTGGCTTTTATGGAATTTTTGACTTTTGAG